AGCTGCTCGCGCGTGTCCCGCAGTTCCTCCTACCAAAACCACCAAAATAGAGAGAGGGTGGAGTTATTATGGCTTCTATCATGCCATTTCAATGCGCCTCCTACAGGGCAAACTTATGGGACTGGGCAGGCGAAGTACCTGAAGAATTTCATTGATGTCATCAGTGATTTGCTTTGCGTTTAAGGCCTCCTGTAGCCGAACCCGCAGCTCGGTTAGTTCAGAGCACATAGCTAAAAGAAGAAACAACAGAAGAGGTCCTGATAGTAATCGATTGGGCCTTATCAAGAGGCAGAAAAAATCTTTTTTTCCTTATTTTCCATCGTCAACCGAACCGGGAGAAAAAGTAAATTGGACCAGAATTTAGTTCCTGTGAATCCAAGTATTCTACAATCAAGCCACGTCTGGTTACAGAAACTGCAGACCTAGAGTCTTGCCGGCGCATAGCGGTGAGTAATCATCAGTTAAAAAGTACTAATGAACACGCAGACTGATTTAAGTCAATCATGAAGGGGGGCTAAATTGAAGGAATAGAAAAGCAAATGAACCGACAGGGCTAAAATTGCAGGCTTGAATTTACCTATCTGAAGATTGAGGTATTAAGCATGAAGTATTGCCTACATTAGTCATGGCACCGAATGAAAGTTAGGGAGTGGAAAGTTACGAAGATAAAAATCTATCAAGCGACAGGGTCCGGCCGACTGCAATGCTCAGGTGTTACTGCTTTTTTCAATATATTACCTGAAGAAGAAAGTTCGGAACAACGTTCCTGAGAGGCTTTTAGTGAAGCCTCAAGTTCAGCAACCATTTCGGTATGTCTCTTCCGGGCCTCCCGCGACTCGAGACGTTCAGACTCCAGGTCCTTGCGTAATTCGGCAAGTTCATTCTCCTAAACAGAACAAACAAGACCACCTACTAAGTATATTTAAGTAGCACGGTTTTAGTATAACCATACACGAATTGCGTGCCACTGCAAATCGCAAGAAAGACAAACCTTATCCAAGAGGCGTCGCTTCGTAACATCCAGCGCCTCCCGCAACACATCTTCCTCAACGGCATAGCGTCGAGCCAGACCCTCGGCCAAATTGGCTTCACGCTGCTTGGCCAGGCTGACAGCAGACCCACTAGTGAGCTTTACGAGCTCGGCAGAGAGTGAAGCGTTAGTAGCCTCCGTCTTTTTCAGGTTCTCCTCTAACTGCAAGAGTGATAAATTGCGGGTTATATTCGCCTACAGCCCCACTCAAAAGTAAGGAACCATGCAAACCTGAGATAGTAAGAATGCAAACAGAACTGAACCCGATGGATCGAAAGGTTTACATTTCACTGACTTCTGCGAATACCGGCAACAGAACCCGCCATCTTTTCTAACATTCTGACATGAAATTCAAACCAAAACCCCGTCTTTTGGATAATACTAAACTGCTCGAGCTAGCGAAAAGGCCAAAAAAAGTTTAAGAACAGAGAATCTAAGTCGAAAGGTTCCAGGGAACGAGAAATCTCTGAAGATGGTCGAGGGAATTCGCAGACATTACACTTGTCATAACATTCAGCACGTCAGTGATATATTCTTGTATTGTTTGCTACTAACTGCTTGTTATTAACCAAACTTTATCCGAGAAACATTATTCCGTCTCAAAACTACGATTAGCAGCAGGGTGATGAAACTCGAACATCGAATTATGCCCAAAAGCGATCCGAGATAGTGTGGCGCATTCAATGCCTAAACTACCCTTGAAACTGCACAGGTCCGACTGCACGCATTTATGAACAGCAGCCGGTTGCACGAAAAATTAACGCAATTTTCTGCATACACACCTGCGAAACGGACCATGAGTTCAACGTCGCAGTTATCAAGATATCGCGCACACCGGAAACAAGGCGAGCGGAAAGTAGATTGACCCCTGGTCCACGGATGAGAACTCAATGAATATATCGATTTTGTGCCAGCGTTCAGAGCCCTGTGCAATCACCTCCAGAATTGTGCCATTGATTATCGATTGGTTTGCACTCCCTAAAAGTGTCGCCTTTTTCCTTTTCTTGCTGCTATCGCTGACTATGAACTTATGCGCGAGTTCGAAAGCTCGGAGCAATAAACAAACTGTTCCTGTAGGAGACCGGCGTTTTCCTTTACTTACACAAACATTTGGAACTCGAACCTTCACACCCATTCTTTAACCAAGTTTTTTTTGTTATATATTACTACAGAACCACAAGGAATATCCGAGTTTTTCAGACTGCTCGCTGGCATGTTGTTCGACTTTGAGAGAGTCTATCCGTGTGAACAAACTAGCATTGCATCAAAAAGAACATGTGGAAAATATTAACACTAGTGCAGTCAGGGAACGTCGCAGGAACAACACGGTGATGAATTCATGAAGTGGCAGGCTTCTGGAATGTTCGAATTAGGGACACCGAAGGTAGTTTGTGCACACGACCATAGCGGCACCATAGAAACTCAGGACCAATTGGGAATATTGCGGAGACAATAGGGGAAAATGGAAGCATATTGGAGGAAATTTAGCTCAAAATTAATGGGGTTATTTAACATTCCCAACGGTGCCGATAGTTGCTATGGCTGTTTAATACTTCAGCGGATACACATGGGTTCACCCAGACAGGAGGGTACAGCTAAAATACTACTTAAGATGTGGAAACCTGGGCTAACGATTTTAATTGTTCAGCGATGAAAACCGATTATGTGAGACTTGAGTCTAAGGCGGTGGAAGCGAAATGGCCTACCTGTGCAACCTTTTTGGCACTTGCAGTCAGCTCCTCCTCAAGCTTCGCTTTTGATCCGGCCAAGAAAGCTCCATTTTTGTCCGCCTCTTCGTTTTTAGCTTCCACACGGGCAAGTTCGCGTGTGAGAGACTCTATTTCGGCTAGAATAGGAAGAAGTATGCGTAGAGGAAAAGCTTCTTGAGACAGGTAAAGAAGATATACAAATGTGCGGTCAGTGCGTGAACAAAAAGGGCTGAGAGGAAGTAGAAAGAGAAAAGGACAATGGAACATAGTTGGCCGCGTGCACACCTCCTGATGCCCGGTCTCAAAATAATCTTATAATTAAAGATATACATCTACGGCGATTTTAAAGTAATTATATCAGGTATGCAATCCTTGAAGGATCGCACCAGTCTGACCTACTCTGTAGTACATCAGGCAGATGCGTAGAAAAGCAATTGCTAAGTAGTGCACAATATTAAACCGCAGTGTTTCAAGATAAATATCTGAGATCGTTGAGGCAATCGGAAGATGGTAACGTGAATGGCGATGGTATATAGCAATAGCAATAGCAACATCAATAGTAATGACATTAGTCTAAGTGAAACGATGAACAGTGAAAAGACAACAGCAGCAATAGTATAATTGCTTGCAGTAGTCATGGTAGTGATGGCAGTGATATTAGCAGCAGCAAGTGTTAGTAGTAACAGTAATAGTAGTAGTAATAGTAGCAGCAGTAGTAGTGGTATTACTAGCAGCAGAAGTATTAGCAGCTGTAGTATTAGCAGTAATAGAAGTAGTAGTAGCAGCAAATGTAGTAATAGTAACATTTCTAGTAGTAGTAGTAGTAGTAGTAGTAGTAATAATAATAATAATAGTGGCGGCAGCATCAGAAGTAGTAATAATAATAGGTCCCGCTCGTGAGAACGTCAAAGCTGCCGACATGAAGGTGAATTCCGACGTAAATCTGCCTGTATCTGGTGGTCTCCGTCCCCCGTATAGAGACAGCATGCTCGTCAAAACCATCCCGGTATAATCCGGGTGTTCACACGATAACTTCAGTTGGAATGAGGAAGCTCGTAAGTGCTTATTCCTATCGGATATGTCTATTGCAAATATAGGATGCATGTCTTGTTACCCAGCTATTGATACAGTTATAGGAAATACTAAGTTGCCAGGCTTAATTGATTCTGGGGCAGGTTGCTCTCTTATTAGACACGACACGTTCTGTAAACATCAAGCTAGAGTTAGATAAGCCAGTAAGTCTAAAGTTAATCCGAAAGCGGCTAATGGCACTACCCTGTGACATGAAGATGTGACAGAACTTGAGCTATAAGGTACAAACGTTTCGTTAACCCATAAGATTAGTATTTGTCACGTTCTAGCTTGGGACTGCATACTAGGTGCCGATTTCCTATGTGTGCGTACAGGCCGTATTATATTAAACTATTTACTGGTTCTAATAAGTATGTCTGCTAGAATTAGCACTCTAAGCACTGAGATATTACTTCTAGCAGCAGTATCTGGGTCGTCGTAGTCTTAAATTAGCAGCAACTGACACAGCTTGGAGGATAGAGGTGAGAGGGCGGAAACCAAGGCAAGCCCTGAAGTGTTACGGACCTCAAACGTGTATTTACTCGGAATAGCATAAATTCAGATTCACAATTCTCGTTGAGATCGAGGGGACATGACCCTCAGCGCTGACCTTAATCAGCGTCACCTCTAACTAATATCAGCGTCAGCAATACTATCAGTACTACTATCATGCAGTTGCATCGCCATTAAGTAATAGTAGAAATAGTAGTATTAGAAATAGCAGTATCAGTCTCGGTTTTATTGAGTGAAGGGTGGGGGTGAGTGAGTTTAGGTAGTGCGGTAGTACTAGTGCAAAAGTCTACTGTCACTTAAGACTAAATCACGCGGTGTTCTGGCCTGCATTGGAGAAAGTGGTCAACGTTGGATCCCGTTCGGTCATCTCGACTCTGTCTTATCCCCGACTCAAGCGGGTGAAGGTGTAGAGTGCGGTAGACAGTTGTGACTTCTACATTCACTTAATACTAACCCCTGTCTTCAATCACCTTCTTTGCACCAACCTGCTTGGAGCACATGGTGGACATCATCGAAATCGATGGTCGAACAACCATCAGCATGGTAGTAACGGCAGCAGCAAAAGTGGTAGTAGTAGTAGTAGTAGTAGTAGTAGTAGTAGTAATAGTAGTAGTAGTA